CAGAAACTGTGGCCCCTGAGCTGCTGGCTCTCAGTAACTGTGGCCCCTGAGCAGTTTAGTTGAATAGTCCTGGTCTAGTTGCTGTATGTCTGTAAATGTTTTTATTCCATAACTTCTGATCCACTCAAGAAAATATAACAAAACGTGACATATGCAGAGTGTCGTGTACACCTTTTATCACCCCAGCTTCAAGGTCACTAATGAAGGTCAAATGTTAACTTGTCCAGGTCGTGCTATAGCTTGCTGTATAATAGTTTGTCTACATGTGTATAATGTGCTGTATGTGGTGCTCCTGCTGTACAGTAGTCCCTCGATAATCACGGGTGTTAAGTTCCATACACTCACAACAGGTGAAAAACCACGAAGAAGGAACGCTAGGGGTTGAACGATTACATTTTTTTTTAAGTCGACTTTAACCTGATCAAAGTCGACGTTGACTAGTCGATTACGTCGTATGAACTCAAAACACTATATCATATACGCAAAAAAAAAGTAATTTATTAATTACAAAAAAAAAATAAGAACAACAAAACATCGGGGGTATATTGATGCTCCTACCATTTATCATACTGCAAATAAGTCACAGGAAAACCAAAACTATTATTAAACTGCAAAAGTGAAAGAAACGTGCAGTACGTAAAAAACAAGGCTAAAACCAGCAGGGCGTGCTGTTCTTATCTTTATTTTATTTAATCCACCACCATGGACTCGGTGGAATAGAACTGATTGCGGCGGTGACTGCGACTAGTCGACGTGAGATATAAAAACTCATGAAATGTTCTAGAATCGTCTAGTCGACTAGTCTGTTCAACCTCTAAGGAATCTATATTTATATATTCTTTAATATATATATATATATATATATATATATATATATATATATATATATATTAAAGGCTTTATAAACACTTCCCACTCTTGCAATGTTCTAAACTCTTAAACCTACATAATTTAACAGTATATGTACTGTAAAGTACTGCAAAATGTTACTCACCAGCTCTGCAGAAAGCAGCAGCTGGAAGCACTGTTGGCTTCTGGGTAGTGTAGTTCTTTTGACTGGTGTTAGAGTATAGACTTATTGAAAGAAAACTACAAAATACCGGCTCCTGTACGTATTTATTTTTTTCATTAACTTTTTAACCCGTACCATCCCAATCACGTGAGTAATGTTAAAGTTGACAATCGATGGAAAAACGCGAAAGTCGAAGCGTGAAGTAGTGAGGGACTACTGTATTTATTTATTTTTTCTTTCTACTAAATGTTTGTAGGTGGTTTTGTCTAGAGTTGGCTGCTGCAGGAGGTCTGTTTGACTTGTTTTGCTCTGTGTATTTATGCATGTTTGAACAGGTAACGGTGCCAAAGAGGAAACACAAGAGCGATAAGCCTCAGAGCCCAGAGAGCGGCTGCTCTTCGCCTGAACTCGACCGCCAAGACTCGTCTGGCAGCGAGCGTGAGCCGCACTCACTCACACACAAACACACCGAAGCGAACGAGGCGCACATGACTTTGCCCACACGTCGTTATCTACAACGTTAGGGCAAAAGAGTTCACTCTTTTGATATGTTCATGTTCCTGAACTTCTTCTGTGCAGGACACAAAAGCAAGCACAGCAGCCGGCTGAGGAAGAAAGGCACCGACCTCAGCGAGCTTCAAAGTGCCATTGAATCTATAAAGCAGACCCAGGAGGACATCAACAGGTGAGGCTCGCGCTGCGCTGCAGCTGTGCTCCCATGTCAGCCACGTTCTAACATCTGCGTGTTTCAGGAGCATCGTCGTGCTGCGGAGTCGCGCCGTCGGCCGAGCAGAAAGCAGCTCCTTCCTCCAGCAGCGCGACTTCGTCATCATCGTTTTCCTCGTGGCCCTGCAGGTTCTCATCAACTACATTTTCAAGTAGCAGCCACTCGCGTACAAGCTTTGTCTTTGACGCGTGTGTCCTGAAAACGTAGAAGCTTCCACATTTACAGACTTTGACATTTATTTGTGAGGAGCTCGCAGCAGATCTCTGAGAAGATCCACAGATTTCAAAGAAGTTCCTGAGATAAACATTCATCAGCCACTCGGGAGCTCGTCGCTCCGCTTCGACGCTCGAGGCAAAGACAGCAGCTGTATTTTAGCTGTCTTTGTTTTTTTTTTATTCTAGTTAACATTTCAGCTCAAACAGCACAAACCTTCTAACACGCAGAGGAGGACCACAACTTGGCTTCCCATTAAGAACCCATTTAATTTTAAAGCTTTTTTTAAGATGTCTTGTTTTCACTCTGGATGTTTTCTGGGAACAAGAAGCAAACAAGATAAGGGAAAAAGGTCCAGTTTATTTATTTTTGTACGATCAGAACAGTTGATCTCACCTTTGGACTCTGCGTGTGTGGAAACAAAGGAGAAGGACCAAAAAGGCAGGTGGCAGAAGGAATGGAAGCGCTACCTTTGTGCATACGGTCACTGTGCACACTGAGCAGCATGTAGAAAACAGCGTTAGCGCTGTAGCTTTCTGTGCAGCGTTTAGCTTAAAGGCACAAATGCGCTGAAAAGCCGAGATGTTTGTGTTGCTCCGTTCTATGAAATCAACAGATCAGGTGATGATCCGTCACCTAAGCACTCCGCTGAAGCTCGCCAATGAACACCTTCTATTGTTTTATTTTTTATTTAATTTGCACAAAACTGTAAAAAAAACCACCTTTTACTTTGAGTATGAATTGTTTTCATCACAGCAGTTTAACGTCATCACTAGGAGATTCACGTTAAGAAGTCGAGCGAAAACTTCAGCTTCAACAAATATTAACATATTCAGAAGTGACCACTGAGAAAACTCAGCTCTTCTTCACTGCCTGACCGGAGCAACGTTCAACGCTGAGCCTCGGTCACCTCCTCCAGCGCATTTGAGCCTCGGGCCCTGACTGCTCTGCTCCGGGTGGTTTTAAAAACAGACTTTTTCTGCTCAGTTTGCACCTTCAGTCAACACAGAAGGTTTTAAATCACATTCATTCCATAGTTGATATTTGTAAAAACTTCAGTTTGTGGTGGATCGGTGTGGACCTGACATACAGATCGTTTTAAAAAACAATAAGATATCAGCCCACTAACACTTAATGTTTTATAAATACAAAATGTCACTTTATTCTGGTCCTGTTGCTGTAAACCTTTGTGTTTTGAAACGGTTAAAAACTGAGGAGAAAACAGGATCGAAGGAACATCTGCCAAACTAATGTGTTCACATCCAAACTCAGACCTGAGCAGCCTGAATAATAATTTAAGTTCCAAAAACACTTGGAACACGCCTCAAGACGGCTATTTGTGTTTTAACATGTCGTTCATGTGGACTCTCTCACCACCCAATGGTGCTTTTTTTTAAAACTTTTTGTTAACTATTTTAGATATATTTATTTTATAAATAAAATATAATTTAGAATATTTTATAAATATATAAATGAGGAATAAATTATCTGTTTAAAGAATTTCTGCAGTAGTGTTTACTTTGCAAATTAAAGTCTAATCTACACTACTTTAAACATGTCCATTCCACGCCACTAGGTGGTGAGAACGTCCACGATAACAACATATGAAAACAGAGTTGGAGCTTTCTTACCATATTTTATAACTAGAGACCGGACCTGTCGCTGCAAGTTGAAGCCAGAAATGACAAGCGCCACCTAGTGGAAAAGCAGGACAACGTTCGAATCCCACCCCTCCATGTAAACAAATGGGGCAATTCTCAGACTAAAACATAAAAATACACATCAGATATATTTTTGTTCAGGTGTTGATTTTGTTTGATTAATATAGTTTTTACTTTGCTACCGTAATACATTTTTTTATGTTAAGATGTAATTTGTTATTTGAGGCTTAAAAAAGTTTGTCACAGAGTGCTTGATGATGTGAGTTTCGGGGTGTAGTGGGACTTTTAATTGAGGGTACAGCCCCCGGTCCTTCACACACAGACTGTCTCCAAAACTACAACATGTCAAGGCCACAAAACTACAACATGTCAAGGCCCCAAAACTACAACATGGCAGGGCCCCAAAACTA